CCCGCTGCGCCACCAGGGAGGGCCAAAATTACATTTTTTTTAAAGATCATTTATTTATGTGTAGAAGAACTGGGGTGTAGGCCAGAGGTGTGAGGAGGTGAGGAGGGTGAGAGGATTCACCAGAGACAGAATGGGGAGCAGAACAGGCAAATCTGAAATATACTGCTGAGGGAGCAGCAGGCGAAAGAAGAGAGGTCTGCCAAGTCATGTGGGTTATAGCTCCCTGGGATATACTCAGGGATCAAACTCATGTGGGTAGCTTCATAGTACTGAAACTTAACCTCTAGCACCAGCAGAAGGGTCCCAGAGATAAAATTGTAATTATAAAACCCAAAATCGCCTCACTCAAAAATATGTACCCCTTTATTAGCTGCATCAGTAATTATCTTGTTAATCCATTCTCTAAACCTGTCTCGGTAGTGAACATACTTTCTCTTAAGAAACGAATATTAAAATATCTTGAGTTGTCCCATTTCATAATCCTCTGCACAAGTCCCAAGGCTCTCCTTATTCTAAAAATACACCAACACATGGGACTTCCCTCCAGTATTTATAAATCATCAAAATCTATACTGAACAATAGGAACATGTGAGCCACTTACTCTTTAATTTTCTATTCACCTTGTTTAAAAATACATAAAAACAGTAAAATTAGTTTTAATATATTTCAAACTACTCAATATAACAAACATTTTATAATATGTAGTCAATATCCTTAATTTTTTTTCTACTAAGTCTTTAAAATCAGGTATGTGTGGGCCCTCCCTGGTGGCACAATGGGTTAAAGCACAGCCCTTAACTAAAGCCACTTCAGCATGAGTTGGATCCGGTGCCCATGTGGGGCCCCCAGGTGATCCACATGGCGGGGCAGACCTCTCCTGACCACCAGCTGCTCCCCTCAGCAGGTCTGTCGACCTGTTCTGCTCCTCACGCTGTAAATACACTAACCCCCCTGCACCTCTGGCCTGTACCCCAGTTCTGAATGCATAAATAAATAAGTCTTAAAAAAAAAAAAAAAGAGGTATGTGTTTTACACTTACAACATGCATAGCTGAAGAGGTTTATGTGGTTTGTGGACAACACAGGTTTGGAAACACTACCCTCTTGTCTAAGAAGATTATTTAGAGAGCTTCTGCCTTTGGCCCCATGCGTAATTCCAAGCAGGCAACCAACCCTTTCTTCTGTGCATCCTTTGACAGATAAGAGGACTCTACAGTGAGGATAGGGAGGGGATGCCTTTCAGGTGAGAAAGAGGAGCTGTAGAACTCTTCCTGGTTACTGAGTAACTAAGAATTCCTATATTGTATTTAATCTGAAAATTGAACCAAATTGTGGTCAGAATGAATTGTTCTGCTGTTAAAAGTCAATAAAATTGAGGTTTGTAATATTAAATTCATTTAGTACTTCGTTGTCACCTGTAAATCAGTACAGGCAAGATGCAAAGCTACCTATTTTCAAATATATAATACTTAACTTGTAGTTTTCCCTAGTTCCATAAGTCACAGCTGAATTAGTCCTGCCATCGTTAATTACAAATTCCAGGGTTAAACACGAATTTTGAAAAGTCCTACTTATCTCAAAGGATTGTAGTTTAATTGTAAGTGATTCTCACTCACTATAACTTATAAACTTTGGTTAATAGGAATATATTGGTTTATATCCCTATAAGCCAAATGGTATTTTCTCCTTTTTCACCTAAAGATATATTTTTCTTAGCCTCACTTGCACAAGCCACTAGGAATAAGGGCTCTCAGAACTGTCTTAAAACCTACACATAAATAACAATTTTATTTTACATTTTATTATACATTAAATTCAACAAGAGTTAAACATCCTTCAAACACATGGTATGGATGGAATACAGCCTTTTTTCTCACACAAGATAGGAACACGCTGTTTCCTCCTCTTGCATGTTGGTTCCACGCTCCTAAGTCTCCGAAGTCAGGAACTACTAGTGGTCACGGGACATTCTCATTACGTACCTGCCTTTGAGCAAACCTTCAATGCCAACTAGAAAGGGAGCTTCCAAAACCACATTACTTGTGACCCCTAGGAAGACAAAGATGGGTCAGAATGAGTACTTGGGGGTCCCTGAAAGGGAAAACCTACCCATTTCAGAGACTCCATAGACACAAACTTCACGAAAAGTCATCCACGCTTCTAGCAAAGGGGTTAGTTTCCGTCCCAATCTTCACCCCGCTTCCTTTCCCAGGCTCTCAGCTACCCCCGCGGAGAAAATCCCACTCACTGGAGAAGATCACCGCCCCGAGGGAGCGCGATAAGTCCCAGGCAAGGTGCACTGAGTCGGCGACCACCGCGTGGCACTGTGAGCACTGAAACACCGCGCACCTCTCGGGCAGCAGCCACGACGGCAACAGCGGTCTAGACGGCCGCTCCTCAGCCCCCAATGCTGCAGGGCCGAGCGGCGAAGACCCATTCACCACCTGAGTGTCCCACTCCATAGAAGTCGTAAGAGAAGGTTCGTCAGTCGCCAGCTTAGCACCATCACAAATGTCACCCCGCGCCAGCTTTACAGAGCGCGAGACAGACCGCGGGAGCCGAGCGGCCATCTTTCCGCAGCTGGCGCTTGTTTTCCAAATGCCCCAGGCCCCGCCCCAAGCAGCGCTCCTGAGCCCTCATTGGCCAGGTTAGGTAGGGTCTACGGTACGTCTGTGAGGGTTTGGGAAGAACGTGTGTTTGCGGGAGAGCGGGATGAGTCTGCTTATTGGTCAGTACCAGGAAAACCCCGCCTTCGAGTCATTTTTAGCCAATGGAGAGTAGCATTCGCAATTCAAACTGTCTGTGTTATTCGGTTTGGTCAACGTTTCTAGTTGCGCCAGTTTTGAACGGCGCTGGCGAGATTCGAGGACTTAAACTGTGCGTGGTCGCCTAGATAGCAGAACGCCATGACCGTCCCCTCACCAGAGGAACTGGACTCCCTCAAGTACAGTGACCTGCAGAATTTGGCTAAGAGCCTCGGCCTCCGGGCTAACCTAAGGGTAAGGCCGTTTTCGGGTCGGGTAGGGTGAGGGGCCTCGGGTAGACGCCGCGGGGAGGGGTCCAGCGGGACCGCGGTGGGCCCCTCTTTCTGCAGTATGGGAAGGATCTTAATTGGAGATTGGCATTTCTGGGGCATACCTAGGTCTTTATAATAGGATTAGTGTTTTTGTTTGTTTGCTTGCTTGCTTTTTTTTTTTTTTTTGGACGTTAGGAAGTCCTGGCTCAGCAAGCAGAAGGAATATATCTAGCGCCAATTAATTGTTAATATTCCACGAAAGAGTGGCCGTGGCTTCTGGAAAACTAATGTAGTTCTTCTCTTAAATTATCATTGAGAGCCGAAATCCTGATAGTTTATTGGGGGACCTGGAAAAAAGAATGGCTTTTAGGGCACCGCGCCAGGGGATTATTTTTTATATCGCAGTCCTGATCTGAGTTTGATGGTTCATTTGTAAACACTACCACGAGTGGTAGTGCTATGTTTCAAAATGGAATCTTTGACTCTCAGGCTGAAAATGTTGCGGTTCGATTTGGAGTCCTATACTAGATTCTAGTGGAACCTTTCCTCATGACACTAAAGTGTATCCGGTGATTTGTTCTGCAGTCTGTGGTGTTGGCACCGATTTATCAGTCATCACAAATGTTTTTAAATGCTTTATGCGAAATAATGTCAGGGTACCTGTTGGGGAATCAACTGAACGATAAAGAAGTGTTTTCAGGTTAAAAAAAAAAAAAACAAAGGAAAAGGATAATCTTCAGAGATATTTCTGAAATGTAATATTTAATATTGCTTTAATACTTTATAAACAAAGCCTTAGTTTTTTAAGCTTAAACTAACCCTTAGGCTTTTTGCATTCTGGCTGGCATCTCTTATCCAAATCTGCTTCCTGAATACTTGGCACCTTTGTCTGTCTCTGCGCCTTTGCTAACTTTGAGCCCTATCTTCCTCTTCACTATATGTGTGAATAATTTCCATTTACTCTTCACAGTCCAGCTGAAATGTCCCAACGGTCTTGGTGCTTTGTACTCCTCACTCTTCATTCCCTTGACCATAGTCTACCACCACAGTAATCTCAGGAACCCCTTTTTAAAATATATATATATAATAATTTTTACATCATTTTGTGCATTTTTCCATCTCAGTTGTAATCCCCATGGGCTTCCCATCACCAGATCACCCGTGTACCATCACCTTAGTTCAGTGCATTTCCCTCTCCCCACGGTTTTTGATCCCATTCCCCATTCCACCCCCATAAAATGTCTCTGGTGTATGTTCATTATTGTTATTATTTCCTCACCTGGTCCCTTATACTCCTGCTATGAGTGAAACCATCTGGTATTTTTCCTTTTCTTTCTGGCTTATTTCACTAAGCATGATCTTTTCCAGCTCCATCCATGTTGCTGCAAAAAGCATACATTTTTTTTTGGTTGCTGAGTAATATTCCATTGTGTATATATACCACATCTTTTTAATTCAGCCATCCACTTTTGGGCATTTGGGCTGTTTCCATGTCTTTCCAATTGTAACTAAAATAGCAATAAACATGGGGGTGCAGGTGTCTTTTTGAATCAGTGTTTTTGTATCTTTTGGGTAGATTCCTAGGAGTGGGACTGCTGGGTCATATGGAAGCTCCATTTTTAGCAGTTTGAGGAACCCACTATACCTTTTTTTTTTAAGCAGTTTTAAAATCCCATCTACTTAGTAAGTTCTTTATTTTTTTTTTAAGATTTTATTTATTTATGTATATAGAACTGGGATACCAGCCAGAATTGCAGGGGGCAGTGAGAGGATTCACCAGAAACAGAATGGGGAGCAGAACAGGTAGATCTACTGAAACACACTGCTGAGGGGAGCAGCTGGCTAGACAGGAGAGGTCTTCTGTGCCATGTGGGTCACCTCCCTGACTGGGGATGGAACTTGTTCTGAAGTGGCTGTGGATAGCTTCACAGTGCTGTGCTTTAACCCGCTGTGCCACCAGAAAGGGCCCCCACTTTGTAAGTTCTTAAAGCACTAAGGGGAGTACATTTTATTTAGGAGATACTGAATATTCAAAATAATTATTTACAAACACTTCCTGGAAATACTAGATGAATGCAGTAGAAGATATCAATAGGTTGTTTGACAAGAAGTTTATTATGGGGCTTCCCCACAGAGTTCACAGCTCTGGCTAACTAAAGCCTCACAACCACTTGGATCTCTGAAGAGCTATTGCAAGTTATCAAAGTATCTTTTTCTGAAAGTCCCACTTATCATTTCTCTTGAGGCACTTGAGCTGGGATAGACAATCACCTTTTTTCCATAGAGGTAAAGTAGTTTTGCATTCTTCGTCAGTGCAAAGCTCATTATCTTCTAGCACATGATAATGGGCAAATAGTAGATAATATTTGTTGAGAAGTACTGGTTAATGAGGCTCTATTATAACTAACCATAAAAAGACATTTTTGAGGCCCTCCCTGGTGACGCAGCGGGTTAAAGCACAGCACTAAGAAGCTAAAGCCACTTCAACATGAGTTCAATCCTCGCCTGCCCCGGAGGTGACCACATGGCGC